GGTAGGTCAAAATTTTTTAAGTGACTAAGCATAGAGACTGTCAGAAAATAGACAGTTGTCTTCTTCTGTCATGCTCTTGTTATGTTGGTAACACATGCAGCCATTTGAGTGCAAACACCTGGCCTTTCCTTCCCACCAGTCTGTGTAATGGGATTTATTCCAGAATGCTTGGATTTTCATGGGTGTTCCCTTCACAAAAAGGAGAAGCTGATCGGTCACCCCAGCAAGCCCTGAAATAAGCCTGACTCGGCTTTGAATGCAAATGCAACATCAGCTGCTGCATATCTGCATTGTGGAAAAGCTGCTATGTGTCAAGGCTCATAGTTCCTGCCTCTGACACATGTGGGGACAGGCTGGTTATTTTGTGGCACAGTACAAAACACCAACTTCTTCTTTTGCTGTATTACCAGGGAGATTGCACACACTGAACTTGCTGATCCAGATTTTGCAGTGTTGCATGCATGGCAAATTCTAATCTTTACTAATATGTTTGGATATGCTTTCAGTGGACAGTGACAAGAAGGGGCATAGCATGACAGTGATGATAGTCCTAATCCTAGCACAAACTGGGAACAGATACACAGAAAACAATGTGAGGAAGGCATTAATATCTTTTAAATTTATCCCAGGGCTTGCAGGACAGTCGCTGTCATCTTTACTGGGGAGGGCAGGGCCAGAGTCCTGGTCCCAGCATGAGAGCCCAGAATGTCTGGGATGCTGTGGGTCCAGTTTTGCTGTAAGAGACAGCAGTTCTGGTTTTAAAGTGGAAAGTGACTTCATTCTTGCAAACTACCTTCCACTTCCAGGCTCTGATACTCTGGAGATTTGGCCGTATTTCTGCCAAGATATGATCTGTTGCAATACTGGCTTTGTAGGGCATTCAAGAGACACAAAGGCCTTCAAAATAATCTTGATTCTGCTCTTGTGTGTTTAAGGGCTTGCTTGCCAATATGGAAGGAGAATTCTCCATACTAACTTACAAGATTATATCCTTGATAAGGATACCCTTGGTATGGTGGTAACCATCCAGGAGGGGATTGTTCTGTCCTGTGGTACAGAATCCTTGTGTACACAATTSATGKTCTAGTTCTGAAACATGAGSATTTGCCTCTTCAGTCTGGGARGGGWCTRGGACTATSAGCTGAGTGAACCCCTTRCCTTCATCTTAAAGTGGAGTTTGAAGCTTAGAGGGTGTGTAAATAATGACATTAGAGTCATTTGTGCTTCAATTGAGATTGAAGCACAAGTCCTTCTATCCTAGCATTCATTCCTTCTGGTCCCACTGCTGAGGGATAGCATTTGGTAGTTTCAGGTCTGCAACTCTGATCAGAAAGAGAAACTATCCTGTACTTGGGCAGTTAATGTAAGAGGCAGCAGGGCCTTGGCAAGACATCTTGCACAGAGGTTTGAAGTCCTTTTTTTATGTTATCTAAGCATTGACACAAAACACAGACAACCTATTTGACAATAAAACACAGGATATGGTTGACTGGGCTGTTGGAGCAGTKGCTGTCTTATGTTTATACTGAGTCAAAGACAAAAATACTTCTTTAGACTATATCAAACAGGTTTCTTYTTTCAAGATGATAAAGTGGTTCCCAGAATAGGCACTACATGGAAAATATCAAAATAACTTCAGGTTGGTTTCATCACACAAAATTTCTACAACTTCTATCACATATATCAGAAGTGTAAGAAATCTGGAAAACCCCAGACTACCCCAGACTGTTACTTTAAACCGTTGAGAGGGGTTTACCCAACCTAACAGTAACAATGAATGTAAATACATTTTTGAGGTTCCTTGAAAAATCTGTTCATTGGAGACAAGCAGTTATTTTTTTTTGACAACCATTATTTTAGTGGGCTGAAACTGAAGACACAAGAAGCTAGAAGAAATGACTGTAGTGCTACTGTGATGTTTACACATTACGARTCACTGCTGTATGTTTTTCAATTCTGATAAAAGGCTGTACAGGGGAAATTGGAAACCCATGGCAGTAGTCTCTCCCTATTTCACCCATTAGCCCTCTAAATCAAGAGCTGTAAATGTCTACTACTAGCTGTAGTCCTTGTACTCTCACASGTGGCACCAGGCTGCCAAATGATATGGCAGCTTGAGGCAGGGTCTTTTCTCATTATCTCTTKCAGAGACTGAGGTTTTCAGTGGATCTTTTTTCTTGGGTGCTTGTTCTGACAATTTTGCCRCAGTCTCATCTCAGTAGCCTGCCCTTAGCTATTCCTCTTTGACTGGTAGATAAATCTGTTCATTCTGACACACAGCTCTCTMACATAATTCTTCTGCCACTGTCAGCAGGCAGAGGACAAATAGAAAACAAAAATCACTGCATTAACAACCAAATCTKACACACAATGCAATGTCAGAAGAGAAATGGCTGTGATCTTCCCTCTGCATTGTACTCCAAATTGGTGCAATCAGTGTCAAAATGCGTTAACCATGCTATAATGGCTATTCTCTTCCTTCTCCTCCCTCCCAGCCTCTGCCCTTTCATCCCACCAAGAAATGATTCCTTCTTCCACAGCARTTGTTATAAACTATTGCCATGCAGGGAGCATGGCCAAAATAGCAGTGCTGCTCCTTTAATCTATTTGGAAGGCTGCTAGAGTGGAGTGCTGCTTCCAGGGRCATGTAGCTTCAGAGGCTTTACCTTTGTGCAGACCCATCTGAAGTAATTTCTCAACATGACTAAATTTTAACCTTCCTCTGCCCTTGGTATTCCGTAACTTGGGCAAGAGTATAARATGTATTTTGTTCGGTCTCTTCCTGGTTTCTACAGGCCAAGTCAATGTCTTTCAACCTTTATTCTTAATATTTAAAAAGAAAATATRTATATAAATACATAAATAATATAAATAAAAGATACCATTCAACTGCAGACTTGAGGAACCTTCTTGGAGGTTTTACTGCAGTCTTTTCCTCAGAGTTTGTGTTGCTTTCAACAGCTCTATCTACCCATATGTCAAAACTGTCAAAAACAGTTTATGACAAAAGTTTGGACTCCTGGAAAGAGCTAGGTTCTACTTCTCATCTCTCTCTTTGTGAGAATGAAGGGAATCAAAACAAGAATTTCCTCCTGTCATTTACTTATTCAGGTAACACACATTAGTGGTGTTAGCATTCACCTTGGTGATCGTGAGAAATAGAAGAGCAAAATATCTCAGCAAACAATGATCTCACTTCTGACCTGACTTATTAGAAGGATAAATACTGAAAATTACATAATTCACTCTTGCCCAAGGCTCTTGAAAACAGTGGGATTGCTTGAAATTTCATGCCTTGTACAGGGCAGGAACCATTTCCARTCTATTACCTGAAAGGAGTTTTTGGGTCCCTTGTAGCTATTTTTAGTTTTGCTGAAACTGAGAGCATGTAACCTGTTTTATAGCAGCTACTGCTAATTACTCTTCATCATGGACCAGAATAAATACCTCTGTGATTGACAAGTATGGGATAATCTGCCCTAAGTGTAAAAACCACTTTAAAAAAGTCTAATACATAAAATACATGTTTTCTGCTCCTCCAGATATTCTTATCAGTGTTCCTACAATTCTGGATCCCCACAGTACATGATACAAACGGCCAATTCTTTTTTGACTCTTGCTACACCCCATGAAAAGGCACAGCAGCTGCATCTCAGTGGGCACATTTTTTTACCCTTCCAAGGTCTCAGCAGTGTCACATCCACTGAAGCCCTGTCCTTCCCATATAAATTACCTTTGTGGGGCATCCCTTTGGTCTGCAATGTGCCCTCTGGTCTGTATGTGTGCAAGTATCACCCTGGCATGGTCAGGGCTGGTGGCAGACACAAGTGTAGCACATGTAGCACAGATTTAGGAGGGAAGAGTGKCTACTAATGCTTTGGTGTGGCACAGACTACAAAGGAAAAAGCAGCTCTGTATCTTCTTCCTTACTGCCTATGCTGCTGTCCACAAAAATCTGATTTGTTACCTGGTGTGCAACAAGCCAGCAATTACACACTCAAGAGAGACATTGATTATTTATTGTAGAGTTGCACAAGCCTGGATGTTCCGTGGTATTCCACAGATCAAGCACAACTATCAAAGCCTTTTACTATTTACACATTTTAGCAAACAAAGGGATCAGTGTTCATTGGCTAAAAGTTACATAGTTCTCTTATTTAGTATTCTATCTTCCATTAGTTAAAGCTTTTTTTGCTGCTTGCATGCTCAGTCTTCCACTTGAGTCAATGGTTTCTGGGGTCAGYGGTACATGTGTTGGTGGTCACCATCTCCCCCTACCAGAACTAATTTTTACCCAGCTGGAGCTATTTTAACACAATTGCCGAGTTGGCTTTATTAGTTTCTTCTTTATCTTGGGAGTTSTGCCAGATGTCTCTATRGCCCTTACATTCWGCATTYTTTGTGTCCATTATCAGTGAGCATCCTTCTTTCCAAGCATCTGTTACCCTCCCGCCAGGTGGAGGGTAAACCCCCCTTCATAGATCATGGAAACATGTCAAGCCCTAAACCGTAACAAGGCAATTCTACCAACAAATAATTTGCCCTTCYAACACCTGGACAGCACTTAGAGCTTGTTAGCTGCKCYGTTTCTCCTTTCTTGTTGTTTARGCTTAAAAGTATAGAAAGATCAAGCACCACAACACATCCTTTTSCAAYAATGCCAAGGGCTGGCCGCCTGCCRTGAAACCACATTTGTGKTCCCAGCGACGATGACTATKCTCTGGTGTGCTGYATCCACGTAGCCACCCCACAAAGAATTAAGCCTAAAGGAAAAAAGATGTTTAGGTGCCTGGCCACGGCTTCGACCGTGCAGCCCGGCGCTGACACAGCCGAGGTTGCCACTTGCTGCTCTGCGCCCGCCGCCGCCATTATTACAGCCCTTCCGCCTTCTCCTGGCTCGGGCAGTGTACCCAGTGTTCCGGGAAGATGTCACTTTGACCCCGCTGCTGGGAGGAGCGGGAAGAGGCGGGCGAGCAAGCGGCAGGAGGGTCCAAAGCTGTCCCTCCCAGCAGGCTGCAGACCGGGAAGAGGCGGGCGAGGTTTCCGGAACCATCAGCCCCCACACGGCCGCCGCCGGCCCGTTCTCCCCGCGGGCTCAGGGTGCCGGCAAGTGSCCGCCATGTCCTCGGTGGCCGCCGCCAGCTGCGACGGCAAGGGCGCGGGGGAGGCGCGGGAGGAGAAGAAGCCGCTGAAGCCCTGCTGTGCCTGCCCTGAGACCAAGAAGGCGCGGGACGCCTGGTAGGGACCCGGCCCGAGCT